CGCCCATCTGCAGCACCAACCGACCTACCAGCCACCAACACCAATAATGACGACAACAAAAGACATAGCAACAGTGGTGGTCCTCTTGGCCGGGTGTAGCTTGAGTGTCGGGCCAGGTACACAGACGATACACCCCCAGCAGGAGGGTCACACTCACGCTACACCTACACACAAGTGTTTCACGACAGTTGACCTCACTAACGCGCTCCTATGGGTGTCTTCTCCCAGCTGGTGCGTGGCGCTACACTGTCTGGAGCACTGTCTGGAGGATCACTTCCCCAAACACCGTGGCGACGCTGGGGAATTCGAGTGCGACTCCACCAGGATCCTTAATTGCACTGGAGAGACTACAGTAGACACCAACACCTCGATAACTTATGTCCTTCTTGTTTCGAGAGATTTAAGGCACAGTGAAGTAGTAGAGATGCCACGAGTAGTCGACGGTGTTAGTGGTGTGTGCACGACCAGGAATGAGACGCTGTTGGTGGTGAACTGTGTGGAGGAAGGCGGCGGGGAGGTCTTGATGCACACCCGGAACGCCACAGTTTATTTATACGTTGATTCCAGTGTCCGCTACATGGAGATCTCGCTGGAACTGTCTGAGTGTTATAATTACACAATATCCCGCGGTAACTACTATCTTACGAGCAAAGACCTTGAGTTAGGTGTAACAGGAGGTGACCCGTGGCTCCCTCTGTCACTGGTGTACCGCCGCCTCAGCCACATCCACACGTACGAGATAAACATCGCGCTGCTAAACTTCACTACCCTTGTCAACACCACCAAGACCTGCGGCAAGTTCCATGGTTTCAGACTGAAAATCGGTGGAAGTTCAACTGGCAGTAGGAGCTGTAACATAACTGTGGCCTCTAGGTTAATGGCACCGTGTCCTTCCACCACCAGCAACACTAACCCCACTAACACCACCAGCACCACTAACCCCACTAACACCACCAGCACCACACTACCACACACACCAGTCCTCACGCTGCTGGTCATCTCCACACTGGTCACCTGGGGGAGTGTCTGCCTGGCCCTCTATTCTCTCTACCTAACAATACACACCTGGAGGAAGTAATGAACATATTATATCACTGGTGTATTTTTACTCCACCCACCTGTATAATTTTAGCTGTAAGCCTCTACACTCTGTAATACAACAATACAGTAGTGTTGTTGTTGTACTGTACACTAGTTAATTTGACAAACAATGTATATAATAAATAACATAATTAACTCACAACAACGTCTTGTGTTTTTCTCTCTTGATTATGAGGTTTAATGATTCTGTTTATTATAAGTTGATTACGTCTGTGTAGAGCTAAGACGCCCTTGGGAGAGCTACTGAAGGAGGAGGTGATAGAGTGAAGAGCTAAGACGCCCTTGGGAGAGCTACTGAAGGAGGAGGTGATAGAGTGAAGAACTAAGACGCCCTTGGGAGAGCTACTGAAGGAGGAGGTGATAGAGTGTAGAGCTAAGACGCCCTTGGGAGAGCTACTGAAGGAGGAGGTGATAGAGTGTAGAGCTAAGACGCCCTTGGGAGAGCTACTGAAGGAGGAGGTGATAGAATGTAGAGCTAAGACGCCCTTGGGAGAGCTACTGAAGGAGGAGGTGATATAATGTAGAGCTAAGACGCCCTTGGGAGAGCTACTGAAGGAGGCGTATTTGGTAGTTAGTAAGGATGATCCCCTCCCCTCCTCAAGGTCTCCCTGTGATGGTACTCAGGAGGTTGCCATCGTACTCAAGAGGTTGCCATCGTACTCAGGAGGTTGCCATCGTACTCAGGAGGTTGCCATCGTACTCAAGGAGGTTAAATCACGACACTTTTTCCTCTCAATGACTTCATTATTATGTATTAGTTCAGTTTATTCTAGTTTTTGTTATTTTGTTTTATTATCTAATTTAGTTTAGTTTTTACGTTATTTTATTTTGTTATCTAATTTAGTTTAGTTTAGTTTTTGTTATTAAATTTCGATATCTAGTTAAGATTTTTATTTTAGATATTTACTTTGTTATCTTTAGTTCCATATCCAGCGAGTTCTTCCTGTCAGTATATCGTAATGTGACATCCGGCTGCGTTGTTGTGGTTTATCTCTGTTGATGAAGCTGCATATATTTACATTTTATCCTCATCACCAACTGTTAGCATACTACTAGTCGGGAGGTCAGTCGGCGGGTCAGGTTAGTCGGTTTTTAAGTTCCCTGTTACTCCCTGTATATAGGGCTCCTGTATGTACTGACACTGCACTCGACCTCCCTCCCTCCCCTAACTATAAAGTAAGGTACCTGTACCTTGAGAGCAGGGTACAGTACAAGAGCTTTATCCACTCGGCAACCACAACTGTTATTTCTCTGTAATTTTCATGAAATATTAAAGGAATATCGGATGAAGGCAAAGAAATAAAGGGTAATTGATGGGATTATCTACCATGAATATAGTTTTACGCTCCTGAATGCCATGTTATGACCTGCACGCCTCTCATCATCTTGTTGCTTCTGATGGATACGTGTGTGTGTGTGTGTGTGTGTGTGTGTGTGTGTGTGTGTGGCAACGGGGAATCACTTGCACTCCCTCTCCCTGCATGCCCTCCTCACCGCCAGGAGGATGAGGGAGGTGAGGTGTGTTAGTATCACGAGAATGTTGACTTAACCTCATCTATCCCTCCTTAATCCTCGCCGTCACCATGCCAACACGACCTGCCATATTGAGGCTGTCATCCCCGTGTGCAAAAGGTTTTACGCTATTTAACCAAACCTAACCTAAACCTAACCGAACCTTAACCTAACTTGATCATTTAACTAAATATAATGGAAATTGCATATCCCTGAAGCTACCGTCCAGCCCGCGCCGCCATCTTTATTGACTAAATATGCCATACACTTTGTGCTGCTGCTCCCAAATTTTGCTCCATTATGCCATCCTTGAGTGCCCCTTGAGATGTTTATACACCTCAATTAGGTCACCCCTTGCCCGTCTGTAGTATAAGCTAGGCAAGTTCAGGCGCTCCAATCGTGTTTTTAATGTCGACTCTGCATTGCGGAAAAACGCCTTTGGGTTTGTCCTGACCTCGCTTGCAACCAGCCTCTGGAACTCCTTTTCTGCCTTTCTACACTCTGACTTTGCTTGGTTCCTGGCTCTTGCATACATCCTCCTGTCCAGCTCATCGTTCGACCTGACCCACGTCTTGAATTTCTGGGTTTTCTTCTTACCCTTGTCGACCGCCGCATGGTTCATGTGAAGCGGTCTCCTTGTATTTCTAGAGGCACTAGGTTTGGTCTTGAGTATGCATTTCCCGAGCAAATGATTTACTTTACTAGCTATAGTATTAAGTGTAGCGTCTGCGTTCTTATGCCTCAGTGAGTCAGGCCAGTGGATACCCCTCATCTCCTCCCTCATCCCGTCACAATTACCCTTGTAATATTTGCACCTTGGCCTGGTTATTTCGTGCACCGAGTAACAATTAAACCTGAACGACAGCATTGCATGGTGGCTGGTAACAACTGGGGCAAGGTGTTCCAGTTTGGCCACCATACCCTCCTCTTTTGTTATGATGAGGTCCAGTGGCTCGGGTTTTTGCTCCCCTCTGTAATGCGTCGGGTCTCACATGGCTGGAACAGAAAATTATCTCTCAGAGTTTTTACAAAAAGAGTAGCGGGTCTATTTAGGTTATTTGGTGTGTGCTCATTTCTCCAGTCGATGTCGTTATAGTTAAAGTCCCCCATGATAAGGAGGTGGCTAGGGTTGAGCCTCGCTGCGTTGTCAATTAAGGCTCTTAAGTTCATTTGGTTTGGTAAGCTGCAGTATGGGGATCTGTAGTTACATCCGACAATAAGTACGTCTCCTCCCTTCAATTTAATTTTACGTCACTTTGATTCTTCAAAAACATCTCCCTGTACCCTCGCCTGGCTGGCTCTAAGGTCTTGCCTAGCATAGATAACCACACCCCTCTCGCAAGTTACTTGAGAGAGGTTCGTAAATAAGTCATATCCGTCAATACTGAACTCACATTCCTTCGGGTCGATTCTCCTTTTCTTGTACAACAGTTCTACAACTCCTACTATATTGGGTTGGTGTACCTTCAGTAGTGTTTCAAACTCCTCTCTCTTATCAAGGAACATGTCAGTATTAGTGTCCACGACAAACAAGCCCGAATTTGTTCTCGGTAACGTCTCTGCTCTTGGTAATAACTCCGGCCCCCGTCCATTCTCAGCGGCTGCAGCATTTGCAAGGTACTATTTTACTGTGTTTTGCAGGGTGTGGTTAGAGAATTGTTTAAACGGCGCTCGCTTCTTCCCGGGTGGTAGGTAGAGCCGGCCCTCCTCCTCGGTGGGAGGTAGAGCGGGTGTAGGGTGAACCGCTCCCCTCCCCCTGGATATAACCCATGTATACCCGTCCCCGTTCAAGCTATGTTAGCACATTTCAGAACAAGCCTAGCATATTTTCGCTACTGCTATAGGGTAACACATGCACTGTTAGCAAGTACTGGCCAAGCATGGGCGTCCATAGGGGAGTGCAAGGAGGTGTAGTTGCATCCCCTTGGAAAATGAGAAATATTCTTTTTTCCGCAATCCTTATTCACACTATATGATATTACAATTGTTTATGTGAACTGTTTGTTCCTTAACTTGCCCACAACGGACACTTGGGATAAGCCGGTACTATTAGACTAATAGTACCGGCTTACCACAAGTGTCCGTGTGTTTGTGTGTGTGTGAGGGAGGAGCACACAGAGGCAGTCAGCTGTTGTTTACATGGGTGAAGGTGTCAACTATAGCACTACCGAACCCTCTACCTCGAGTCCATGGTGGTCACAACTGAACCATATATTTAAAAAGAAAAACGATGAATTTTCTCACACTTATATGTTTATATAAATTGTTGCTTATATTACCCACATGTTAAAATAGTTACCATAACTCACCTGGCTTACGGTAGTGCAGTAATATTACGAGAAATTAATAGACCGATATATTCACAAACCCAGGTGAATATTTGTAAATTATCAAAATGTAGATAATTTTCATTTAAAAAAACTAATATGAATGTTATAAACTATTAAAAGAATCCAAGTTAGGGTAGAAATATTGGTTAGTAATGAGAAAGAGGAGAGGAAGGGGTTCATTCACGGGTTCAGTTCAGTTAGTGAGTGAAGTTGTTGTCCTCAGGCGGGTCACACTGTAGCCTCCTGCCCGCCCACTCTGACCTCGCCCACCTACACTGACCTCGCCCACCTACACTGACCTCGCCCACTGACACATCCCCGAGGCACCAGGAGGTATTAGTGGGGTGTAAGTGTCTGTGTGTTTAAGTATGAGTGTCATTACGTTGCTGATGGTAGGTGTAGTTTGACATGTTATTGGAGGTTATGGCGTATTATATCAATCTCTATGAGCATGAGATTGTATAAATAACTGTACATTATATTGATTTTAAACCACAAGGTAATGTAGATGTCTTTAATAGTATATATAAATAATTGATGTGAGTTAACCTGTTAATTACTGTACTGTGGGTTACCTGGGGGAAGGCTAACACACTAGACAGCTAAGTTATGATTAATATTTCATACTACTGATTATTTCACCCTTAAGCTCACCCCAGATGTTGTCGTGGTTAACAAGGTGTGGTGAAATGTAACTTCATTATGTGATTATGGGGACACCTGCCTGGGGTCTACCTGTGGCCTTCAATACCTGCTCAGTACTTTCTGTAACTCGTTCAGGTGTTATATGAAGAATTTTACCTAAGATCTAAGAGGAATTTATTATAGATAACTTTAAAGGCATTATTTTAGTTTTATACAACCACAGAATCTGGTATTTTTAACACATGCAGTAAATATGTCTCTTTGATTTGACCAAGTTTCATTCTGTACAATTCTGTCACTAGTGAATAATAATGTTGATCATAAATCACCTGTAGTGGGCAGGGCATGAAGGATGAGGGAATTTGAAGAGTAAAACATAGTGAAAAACTGATCGTATGACACTAAAATGATGTCTACATGCTTTGCGCGTGAGGAAATTAATTATTTACTGTAAACACTCCTCAAAATATCTGCCGAGTCAGTGCGTATGGTAGATTTAAAAAGAAAAATCATCCAAATACTTCACAGACAAATATATGTATATGTAATATTTATGTACATATGTATGGCAGAGGGTTGGCCCCCCTGTCTAGGAAGTTAGGTAAGGTTAGGTAGGTTTCTTTGGTTGGTTAGGTCAGGTTCTATTAGGTTCATTATTATTCACTTGCAATAGAAGTCTTTTCAATGAAAGTTAGTCAGAATGATGAGATATATTGATTGCATGTGTTAAAAAACCAAGATTCCATGGTTTTCGAAACTAAAAGTTTACCACTCTAAAAACATGATTTAATCCCAGTTTGGTAAAGACTTTTTTTTACTCTTTACTTTTAACCTCTTCACCACCGATCGACCCGTTGTTATAAGGTAAAACATAACTCCAGTGAAAGAGAAAAATTAAAAATCCTGTTGAATAATGAATATTTGGTTGATGGTGGAAGGGAGAGCAGCTATTGGTGTTATGTCTCGGAGCTTCTCACTATTATAGATTTTTTTGTATTTTTGTTTACGTATTATCAGGTGATAGGCCGATGATGTGGTATTTGAACATTTAAGCTAATATTCCCCAAACACCGACAAACAAGCCTAAATTGAATGCCAGTGTTTTTGGAATATTACCCAGTAGGTGAGTAAAATGGCTAGCTTGTTAGGTTAGATGTATTAGTTATGTTTTTAATTCCACATTTTTCTTCTGCTTCGAAGCTCTCACCAGGGTAGGAAGGGACATAACTCAATACAGTAATATGCATTTTTCCAAACTTTCATTATCACTATTGTATTCGGCATAAAAAACGCATTAGAAGATGTTATTTTTATGTAATACGTTATCGGTGTTTGTCAAATAATTACCAACGATTGTCTTGCAGTCACGATAAATGTACACACAGCTTAAAGCAGTGGCTTTGCCGAGTTATCCCAGATTCCGACTTATCGAGACATTTTCCCTTCCTACAAAAATAAAATAAAAATTATCAACCCATATATGTATACTGTACATGTAATTACTAAATGTAAAAAGTAACATTTACCAGTACTGCAGACAAAGAATGAAGCATCATAGTAGGTAACACAGAGGCATGGTAGGTGACACAGAGGCATGGTAGGTGACACAGAGGCATGGTAGGTGACACAGAGGCATGGTAGGTGACACAGAGGCATGGTAGGTGACACAGAGGCATGGTAGGTGACACAGAGGCATGGTAGGTAACACAGAGGCATGGTAGGTGACACAGAGGCATGGTAGGTGACACAGAGGCATGGTAGGTGACACAGAAGTATGGTAGGTGACACAGAGGCATGGTAGGTGATGCAGGTGGCCAGATATGCCGAGATTTTCTCAGATAATTTTATATACAGTACAGGTATCTGCATTTCCTTCTTTATACTAATACAGTACATTTTGAGACCATATCTATACCGAGTTATATGAAATTCCGAGTTATCGAGGGTTTACTGTAGGTTAGGTTAGTTCATTTTATGAATGATAAAAACTACTGTAATAAAATTTAATACACTGTATTACAGAATCTGGTACTTCCACAGTGTTATGTTGGCGGTCAGCTCTAGAAGTAGCAGATACTGACACATTTAAATATTTTCATTTATAGAATAAATTAAACTACCTTACCAAACATAACCTACTGTAACCTTAAAATAAAAATACCAAATTTAAGAGGAGCCTTTGAAGACAATTATGCTTGCATTGAACTCCTAACATTTTCAAAGAAGCAAATACAGGTAGTGCTACATCTCTATGACAGACATCAGTGGGCTTTCAGTGAACCCAAACCGGAAAATATGTAAAAGTTATATTATGCAAAATGTATTCCTCGTGCAATTTTTGTCATTTTCTTGAGGTAAGAAAGCTTTTTATCTAATATGGAAAAATTCCCTCAAGGTGGTTCTGTAAACTTGTGTACAGTAGAAGTTGTTAAAATGTTCAGGGATAATGTCTTTAGACAGCGGGTGAAGGTGTAGAGGAAGGACACCACCAGATGACACAGAATTCTTTGATAGGACTTTGTCTGACCAGTTTGTGTGAATATATACAATATAAATCAGGTGAGAGAGAGATCAAGGAAAAACTGAGGAGTGAGAATTAACTTAGAATAATAGTGTTAGATTATGATGTTTTTACCTGTAGTCTCTTCTGTATTACTCTGGTCAAACATTGCATCTAAATTATTATATCAAGTGACCGAGGCTACAAAGCAAACAAACAAAATCTAACCGAAACAACCAACAATATTTAGTTATTTTGTCATTTGGGTTTGTTGGGTCATATCCTGTGTTAAAACAAATACTTAATTCTGCCAACTCCATCCTGAAAAGTATTACCATTCGATAAGGATATCAGACATTATCATAAACACACACACACACACACACACACACACTCACTCACTCCTACTGCTTCCATACTGAATTTACTACATTCTATACTCTAACTTAAACATATCAGAAAGACCCCATCAGTGGTTTGACTTCAACATGGTGACATAGGAAGAAGTAACAACTCATATAGGGATTAAACAAGCTATAATGAACTCCCTTCACAACATATCTGAAGAGACAAAATAAAAGAATACCTTAACATCTTGGAAGAGATATATGTCACATAGTACCTTTTATTCTACACCTTTTGTATGACAGCTCACAGTCTCTCACTTTCCTTGTACACTTCCCCCTACTCCTGTTGCCAGTAGGTAATGGATGCTGTGCTATGTGGCACTCTGGATCATTGCTTCACATTTATCCAGGTATGAAAATCCCTAATTCTTTTATTATTTTTCCGTGTGTGTTTTTATTTCTCTTTCTCTCATCTCATTTTCCTCACAAGCCTCCACCTCCCGCCAGTGATAACAGTCAGCTGAGACAGAGATAAATTATTTGAAGTGGCTGTTATAGTATCACGCCTTACATAACCCACATGAGTTAAGAACTGTACTGTATTGTGTACAGCAGCAGTTTGCACACACACACACGCACACTTGCACTGATATTGGTGCTAGGTTTTTCAATGTAATTTTTTGAGACTACATAAAGTGTTATATCCTCTCTTGTAGGTTGCCTGTGTGACACGTGGGACTCATCTGCCTGAAAAATAGAGATGGAAACCTTAAGGTGAGTTGAAGTGCTTGTGTTAAACTGAGTGACTGACCAGATATTTACACAATAGTGGTGTGCAGTCTACAACATACAGTGCTGTACAGTATTTATATTTTTACTATAAACTGTGGTCTACAATTTGTTCTGTATTTTAGAATGTGTACTATCAAAATATTCATGGTGATTAGTATTTTAGTACTGTATTAGTCATTTTAGGTAAGCTTAGAGTAGGGTAGGAGAGACAAAAGATATCTTGTAGACTGCACACTATAGTGGCAGCAAACATGATGTGGATGAACACTTTTATCTTGGCCTTTGATTTTTAGGTTTTTTAATACAATACTGTAGCTTCTGTAGTTAGTCTGAAAAGTTTGAGAGTTACTTTACTGCAAGACTGTCTCTTATGCAGGTACCGGTATGTATTTGTGTTTGAGTAAATGTGTTGCTGTAACCATGCTGAATTATTCTTAAGAAGGTAATACCCGGTATGTACTGTACCAAATTGTCTCTAAGAATATGTACCTTACAAGTATACAGGAAGCCCTTGTTGTATGCAAGTTCAACATATGCCAATTCACTCATATGTGAACACCCTATTCCAACCAGGAATTAAATTAATGTGAGCAAAATTCAGCATTATGCGAGATATCACAGACTCTGTTATGGATGCCAACCCTGATGATTGCAGGTGTCACTCCAACACCATCACCCACCAGGGTTGGATCAGGAATATCCAAAGGGGGGGAGGTCAAGAAGTTATGGGTGGAGGAACATGGCGAGTGCAGCGAGCCCACCCAACACCATGGGGATTTTGAGGCCATTTTGAAGCCATGTGCACTTGGTACATATTAGGAGATATTCTGATGTCAATAGTGATTACTTTTTATTATACAAAAATGCCTGAGTACAATACTGCATTAAAGAAAAAGTATTGGAATTTTCTAAAGGGGTCTGGGCCCCCAGGACCCACCCTTGCCCACCATGTAAAACCTCTACCACCACCTCCATCATTTTGTCTTCCCAAGCTGATATACAGAGTACAGTATCTGCTTTTATTGTTACGTACTGGGCACCACTGTACACTTGCTTTATGTATTTTTATTTTATTTTTTAATAATATTTTATTGATTTGCTTTATGGGTAATTTGTGTTGAAAATGGATCTGAAATATTTCCATTTTGGATTATGGAACGTATCCTATTTTTTCCCATTGAACTAAGTACCTGTATTTGATATATGCGAATTTGGTTTAAGCGAGGGTCTTCAGGAATGCATCCCTCACATATACTGCGGACAGTAAAACATGATTGGGATACATAATGGTCTTTGGATACATTACAGTATTCATCACAACAAGTAAAAGTTGATGAAACAGGTAACAAATATATACAGTACCTTTTTTCATTGTGTGATTCTTTTTTCATTATGACACAAGAAACATTTGACATGGAAAGTATTTTTAAGTCTTCAAAGCTGAAAGTGTCACAGCAATTACGTCTACTACTACTTTGCTGTCATGCAGTATCGCGTATGACCATCATCCAGCTATGATACAATGATATGAGTTATTAGGGATGTCATCTAGGTGGGTGAGTTCTGAGGTGACTAAAGAGGCCGATACGGGACCGGCAGCGTCGTTCACTGATGTTGCACATGTGGGGGGATACATCTAGTGCGGGAGGGGCGGCGGCAGCATCTTTCCGGTGTTGGCGCTTGTCTGCCTCGTTATGCAGTCGGGCTAACTCGAAAGCATTGACACCTTCTTGTGGTGCTCCTCCAAGCGTTACGGTGTGAAGTAATCGTCTCCCAGGTGTGGGGGTCGATTTGGCACTTTTCAGGTTTGTCTTAAGACTATCCTTATACCTTTTCAGTTGCCTGCCAGCGATACGTTTACTATTCGTTAGGTGGCTGTAAAGTAGCTGCTTTGGCAGTCTACTGTCGTCCATGTGGGTAACATGGCCAGTCCAGCGCAGTTGTTCATGGATAATGGTAGCCTCGATGCTCCTACAGTTGGTGTCAGCGAGAATACTGGCATTTGTTCTCCCTAGCCGGAAATTGCCCATTCGTGGAATGTAGGTGTACTGTATTGGTGTTTGTTGGGTGCAGTTCAGTCCTTGCATACAATAAGGGACAGTAATAAAGAGATCTACAACAGTGAATGTATTTAACATTTGTAAGGGTGAAGTTAGTGTGTGTTTATCCCTACAGTATAGCGTGCATCACCTGGAACGTGGAGACCACGTGGCCGGAAGAGGACCTCCATGCCTTAATGGGGGTGCGCAAGGATCCCATTATTAAGCGCGGCCTGGATGACACTCTCCCAGACCTCTACATTGTATGGTGAGGATTTGAATATGTTAACTTACTTTTTTTACTGAATGTCCACAAAAGTTCTACCTGCCTGCCTCAGGTAGTACAAGTTAGTGCCACATGTATGGATGCTGAGGCCTGATGTTATCCACCTAAATACTGTAGACATAAAATTATTAATAAGTGAAGAACATTGAGCACCTTCTTTTCTTGTTCATTATTATCCATTAAGATAGAGATGTATTGTAATGTAATTATATTAGATAATAATTACCATGTCAATTCATCAATTTTATAAATTTACTCTGTGTTTATGTTTGTGTATTTTACAATATATACTGTATAATTTATAAGAATATTTCACCAGTTCATCCATGACTCTTAATAACACATTAAAGTACGGTATTGTATGTCAGGTACTGTAATGATGATTTAGTGACTTATTTGTTCATTAAAAATAAATCCAATTCCTCAGCCTTCAGGAAGTTAAGTCACAGCCACAGAATGTTGTTATGGACACGTTGTTTGAGGAGCCGTGGACTAATGCTCTGAGGGAAGTTATCGGCCCCCATAACTACGTGAGGGTCAGTGGCGAGCGTCTGCAAGGATTAGTCACCAATGTGTTCATTAAGCGGCGTCATCTACACCACGTTCGGGACATTCACACGTCTGTGGTCCGAACTGGCTTTGGGGGCTTCTGGGTGAGTTAATATTTTGTAAGGTTTTCCACCATCAGATCCCAGAAGCCTGTGTAGCCGGGTGACTGTAGTGCAGTTCATCACTCGCTGTAAATACTATATCATAGTTTTAATCCACACAGTCTTGAGCTCTGGAGTTTGCTGTTACTTCTTCTTAAATGATGAACAAAGGGAAAGTATTTGAAGTAGAGAAAATATAGTATACAGTGGGGTATGCTATAACGAACGGATCCTACTACGAATATTCCTATAACGAACAGTTTTACCTATAAAATTGAGAATACTATAACGAACGAAACTCCTACAACGAACATTATTTAAAAAAAAAAAATTTTTTTTTTTTTTTACTAATTTATTGTTTTTTTATTACAAGTATTAATTATATTGGTTATTTCAGGGGTTTAGATGCATATTTATGCACTTTTTTACAATTTTTACAATTTTATATATTTTTCAGTGTTAAGTGGTTGTATTTGGTGGCCTGGATTAACCTCTATATTTGAATCTAATGCTATAACTAACAAGGTTCTAGAACCAATTAGGATTCATATAGCATACCCTATTGTATTTTGGTGTTATGAATATTGTAGGATCTAATGCATCTCCATATGCCCTGGTTTATTCAGTTGACTAAGTGCAAAAGTAACCAAATTGAGCCATCATGTATTACTTAATTTTACAATATAAATTATAAAGTGAGATGTTATAAGACAATGGACAAATTGTCGGTCGGAATTTTTTTGCAAGATGGCGGGTCAATGTGTAGAGAAAACTCTTCAATTCACTATGGTAATGATATTTTTAAGTAAATTGGTCCTAAAAGTGTCAAAAATAAGGGTTAAAGTTGCTAAAAAGTCACGTGACTGTGAAAAGCTCTGATTGGTTGTGACGTCACAGGTTGGCTGGAGCCGCTGAGCAGGAGGCAGCCAGCTGTGGTGTGTGTGTTGTTACCAGCAGACATACGGGACTTGTGGCCATATACAATGTTGATATACACAGTCATACCTTATTTTGTGGGTTGAAATAAATTACTGCTCAAGTATCATCGTGTGTATTTACTTGCTGGCTGCCAACATGATGCAGAAGACCAATAACCTCTCTGTTACCTCTCTGGGAAATATAAGTCTTCGTCACTGATGTCTATATTTAATGTAGTGGAAGGCCAAGGGACGACCATGGCCAGGTTTGAGATGATCGATGACAGATGTAACAGCGTGCTTCATAGCTGGATGGTGGAGTTCTTGATAATACTCTACTGTCATAAACACATCTACTTTGGTAAATTTCTTTCATCTGCCTTGATGAACCCTGGAAGTAGCTGTCCAACCTTCTCGGCTGATCGGCTCTGTAAATAAATATTATTAGATAATTAATTGTGCTTTACTGTGCATCACAGTACTGTAATGCTATATTGAAAATATTAATATTACTAAGCACATTAACTAATTCAATGGATATTAGCTGCCCATACTACAAATTTCATAGTTTAAACAATCCAAACAATATTGGTATTATTTTGGTTTTGGTCATCTGGGGAACCTTAAGATTCTAACTGTGGGATTAAGAACTTTAAACAATAAGACACATTCAAGATTGCCCCCGAGGGGGCTAGTTTATTGGGCACCCCTTTACATCCTGTGCAAGGTGAAGCGCAGAAGTGTTTACAGCGCCCATCTGGGAAGCATGCAGAGTTTATGCTTGCCTTTATGACTCATGCATTAAGGGCGTAAAAGCCTGAAGGGTCATAGGTTTTGTCAGCAAGTTACATAAAGTGACAGAATGATGAGTGTGTGGGGGGAAAGTTCCCAGTACATTTCATCTGTTTATGGCAAAGCGTGGCAGGTCCCTAATGTCAAGTGCCAGGCCTGTCACTAGGAGGAGTGATATCTGGTCAGGGAGGGAAGAGGTGTTGGTAATGGCTGGGGACCTGTAGGAGAAGGTCCTAGGGCAAGTGAGGATGTAGTGAGAGAGGGTGTGAGAGTCGGGTTAATAAGACACATTATCTCAAAGGGGATTTCTGTTGCAAAACATTTTTCTATCGCATAAGAAAATACCGGTCATATGTTAGGTTAGGTTATGATGAGTTATATTATAAGGTTAGCTTAACAAACACCAGTAAGGGGGGGGGGGTAGTAACTCAAAACAAGTGAAGGTCTAAATCGTTCATAACACATCGCAAACCATCAGAAAAAAACATAGTCTGCATGTCTAAGTACAGGGATGACCAAAACTTTACATTTACCCAATATAAACTATCTCGACTCTAAACATCCAAATACTTATGGTAGTTAAATTAAAATTTTACCCATTAATTCATGTTAATGATGATATATCCCAATGAAGAAACTGCACTATTTGAGACTGAGTGTGAGAAGGACTTAGGTGTGGATGTTGACAATGACCTGAAGTTCTCGGGCCATTGCGAGAAGAAGGTAAATCAAGCAAATAAATTATTGGGTCTTATAAGAAGGTCCATCCCTCGTAACGATCTTCAAGAGTGAAGTGCTTCCCCATTTGGAGTACTGTCACCCCGTCTGGTCCCCGAGATATGCTAGGGACTGTCACTTGGTTGAAAATGTTCAAAGGAGGGCCACCAGACTGGTGCCTGCACTTCGGCACCTCAGCTACCCTGAGAGATTGGAGCGCCTGAACTTGCCTAGCTTATACTACAGACGGGCAAGGGGTGACCTAATTGAGGTGTATAAGCATCTCAAGGGGCACTACTCACCGAGTGTCCTTACTTGGAGCTGGCGGACGCTCGCCCCACAAGGGGTCACAGCTCAAGATTGAAGAAGCCGCAAGTCCAGAAAACTGTGAGGACAACTTTTTCGGACTGAGACTTGTGAACTCTTGGAACAATCTACCAGAAAGTGTTGTGATGGCACCGAGTGTGAGCTCTTTCAAGACCAGACTTGACCAACACTGGAGCAGGTTCAGGTACATTCAGGAGCCAGTGCATGCCCAGTACTTGCCAACAGTGCAAAACAGAGATGTGACCGATCACCCAAGCGGCTAATGAGCCGATCAGTGGTGAAGAGGATAAAAGTAAAAAGTAATGCATTCTCAAAACAAAGTCCCGACAATGTCAGTTCTTCTAAATTGACTCATATCTTCATCTAGTACTGATATACTCTGTAAATGCACTGGAAAAAAAAATAGAGAAAATCTACCAGGTAAGAATACATGACAGGTGAGCTGGTGTGAATATGGGAGTTTTTTATGTCCATAAGCTGCTCTTCACGGCACATTTCTTCACTTACGAAATGTCATGACTTAGACCACAAAAAAACACTTAAAACTTACCTGAACATGGTATTTGGGGTCTGAAGAGGCCATCCTTTCTACTGCAGCGGTGAGTGTGTTGGAGAACGTCGTCTGCTGGGTAATTGGTGACGTCATAGCGGCCCTGTTTGTAGAGAAATAAACTTATCTCGACTATTATAGCAGGACTTTAAACTTTTATTACAAGTTATATATACCGTATCACTCTACAAACGTGGCAGAGTGTATTTATTGTGTTTACCCAGAACCGACAACTCGTCCATTCTTTAGTAGTGCTCTTAGTGTGTGTGTCCTGTGTAACTGCCTCGCCATGTCGCCTCACCTCACAGTGTTACATTGATTTATTACTGTATTATATACTGTACTTTATTACACTAATACTGTATGAACATTTATAAAATATATTTGCTGTATATTTGCACAGTAATTATAAATAGATTATTTTATGTACCAGCCAAGGCTTGGTCAGGTGCAAAAACTGAACAGAATATGGACGAATAATTGATCAAAAAAATTCAGAAAATATCGAATAATGTAAATATATTCCGAACTGGGTTAATTCAAATTTTCGGTAATTCGGGTGACCCAGAGCCCCCTTTTTGTCAAATTAACGATGGTATAGTGTGTCTTTAATTATTTCAAAGGTCATTAATGTACACCAATTACAGTATAGTACTACTCTAAAATTTAAATTGAGAACCCCAGGTCCTTAATGAACATGTTAAGTACTGTAGTACTTCTGTATGAAACTTGAACAAAATACGTTAGATGGTATGATCCCAAGTGCCAAAACACAAGGTATTGTATTAGGTTAGGTTTATTTTTTTACCTCAATCGACATTTCTCTGGAAAGCGAAAACTAACAGGTTTATATAGTAAAGATAATCTATATTTCTAAGAGAGTTTCTATAAATTTAGGCAATTTAAAACTTACGGCCACAGCGTAATTTATTTTTTAAATATTCTAAATACCACGGGAAATATCTATATCATTCATACTTAAATGCAAGGAAAGGTGTGTAGGGCTAAGGTATATTAAGTTAGGCAATGGGAATGGGAGTACAAATAAAACTGATAATTTCAAAAAGGTGTAGCTACTTGGTTCAGGCAAAGTAGTCAAGTTCTCAGTTATACTTTACTTGGATGTTCAGTGATGAGTGAGGTTTGTAGACAGTTTCTCATCTGTGTATAAATAGTTAGGCAATGTTTGTGTTGATGTGATAGCCAACCAGCATGGTGAGAGAATGTTTGTACAGGTAAAATACACATTAATTGGACTATATTTATTTTCGTTTGTGGTATCTTTTGGCTAAAATATTCGAGTTAGTTCTGTATGTGTAAATCTGCTTATTATTGCTGTAATTGTGGACAGATAAGGAGATAATTAGCCATTGTATGTTCACAGTATGTAGTAAAGTTGTCAAAGGAATTGGATTATGACAGATTGTTGATCCTTGTTTGCAATAGATACTTTGAATTCTCTCTTTGTTAACATCAAACTGTGCACTGTTAATTAATTGCATGTTTATGGTTAAGCACTAATTGTGGGAACTAATTTATACATTAGGTGACAGAACACTGATGTCAGTTAATATACATAATTGATGGGGACAGAAGGGTGGTAGAACAGTATAGTGCTTGTGACGTGTGGTGTAATGTACTACCACTGGATGATGAGGGCTGTACAATAAATATACTGACTAGGAAGCTGATAATTGGTGGAAATGATCAGTCAAAATTGAAAGATAATTAAACAATGGAGTTGGAAGGGGATCTATACAACAATGATGTTAGCATGGATAAATAACTTTAAAGGTCTATTTTCTTCGTTTATAAAACCTATCCATACTAATGTGTTTGGGGGTAAGTGTTGACTTTACACCTTGGCTGACCACCGATTAATTGCCTGGTTTGTGTGTTTTGGGAGGCGGGGGAGGGAGGGGCCCAGCAAAGGTGTCGGTTAGGAATTCCGAGACCACCGGTCTGTGTGGCTCATAAGTGGCGTGGAATGTACACGCACTACAATAAGTATCTTCAAAATATTTTGCCAGACAAAATGATACAATGGATGAAGGATTTTGAGAACCCTACTGAGATAACATGAGTCACCTTGCAGGTACGTTCTCTACCGAGTGAGTGTACAGGAGTATCCTCTATCAAAATATTTAAATTTCATTACAATCTAATGTCTCTAAATTGCTAAGGTTATGATTATTTTCATGATTAATAATCATCATGACAAGATTGTTATTATCTGATTGTGGCAACATAATCCTGAATTCGTAAACTTCAGTTTGTAACAATTAGTTCAAGAGACATAAAGTTATTTTTCCAAAGTTTTAACCATGTTTTTGGGTGTTATTCTTATTTGGTGTTTATGAAGTTATGTCCTCCATAGTCTCATATACAGGAGGAGATATTGACAGTACACTCATTTGTGCGACAACGCGAATTGGTTGTAATGCGATTGGTGAATAGGGGAACGTTGTTTGTAAAACGCGAACTTTTGCATACGAATGTTGGCTATAGCGCGATTCCATCCTCAACATTTTAAGTGTAGCGTGGCGCGGTTATGCAATGTTTACAGTTCACATTCGACATCACGGGTTCAATTGATTCGTGTCTTTTGTTTGTGAAGTGTTTTTTGAGAGGTACTCTGTAAATTTTGTTCTTTATTTGTAAATTTAGCTATTACCCATAAATACTGTATGAAAAGAATAGGTAAAAAGAATGTTTCGCAGTGCGGACTAATAACGGTTTACACTAGCGCTCTCTGTTTACATCACGTGATCAGTTGAATCGCGTGGTTTCTGTCGATTGCTCTGTGAAGTGTCCATGATTGTTGCTGTTTTCTCCAATTTTGTTGTGTTTGCCATGAATATGGAAAGACAAAGTAAGAAGAATATTTCCAAGAAGCGTTCTGGTGATCGAATTGCCGGTGGTGAACGTAAAGGAAAGGCTATAACACTATTGCTGGAACAAGCTTTAGTGCTAGCAAATCTGTGAGATCACTACCAAAGTAATCTGCACCTAACCCTATTTTCTCCGTAAGCCCTGGTATTTTTATTGCGCAATTTTCTATAGCGTGAGGTTTGACAAGAACGCAACTATCGCGTTGTAGCAGAAATGGCTGTATAGGTTATAGTTGTCCTCTGGCCTAGACTCATTGCTCCTAAGTCCAACCACAGTATGGGCAAAGGATCCATATTTAATGTCTTTGTTAACACATTTCTAATAAATTATATAGAAATATTTCCCAGTCATAGCCATTATCCTTTTTGTTGGTCTCAGGGCAACAAGGGAGCCGCCAGCATCAGGTTGTCGCTGTACGGAACATCCATATGCATCGTTAACTGCCACCTGGCTGCCCACGACACAGGGTACAGGGAGCGGGTGGAGAACTTCAATGCCATCGTCGACTCTACCCGATTCCCGATCCCAGAGACGAGTAACATCCTCTTCCACGAGTAAGTATTTTTGATCAGCTAGTTGATTTATGTGAGGAGGATTATACTGTACACTGTTAAGAGATCTGTTTTTTTAAGATATTGTGAAGGAATTTTGTAAAATGTGATAAATGTTATATATCTTATCATAAATTTGTAGTCATTCATTGATTTGTTAAACCAAGTGAATTGATTTATCGGGGAATTACCTGTTTACTAAATACAGTGGTCCCTCGGTTAACAAGCACTATCCGTTCCAGCAGGTTGCTCGTTAACCGAAAATCTCGTTAACCGAAACCATTGCTTCAATGGGTTTTTGGGTAATTGGTTCCAGCTCACCGAAAATTGCCTAAATTCAACAAAAAAGGTAGAAAAGTTCACTTACTTTGTGGTGTGTATGTAGAAGGCTCCTGGATGATGATGATGATGTGAATTTGAAGTGGGAGGTGGAGGAGGAGAAGGGAGAAGAGAAGGAAGTGGAGGTGGAGGAGAAGCATTTTACTGCTTCTTGGAAGGTGAGTCACCTTCCAGGAAAATGTCAGGAACCTCTGGACTGACAGATTCTCCACCATGAACATCCTCTCTCCTTCTTGAAGTGGAAGGCTGAGGGATAGCATCTTGTTCCCTCTGCCTTTTACTGAAGAAAGTGTCAATTGTGGTTTGTGGGGCATCTCTCCTCCTCACCATTAACTTACGTTTAAAGAAGGAGACCACTGAGTCCTCAACATGACACAAAGTTAGTTCAGTTTTTTCCACTTCTGGGTGCTTTGAAGCCAGTTCCCTGAACTTCTCCCAGTGGTAAATCACATCTTTCAACTGTTTAGCTGACATATGGTCATCACTTTCAATTTCCTCCTCACCACTGTCAGCCTCGACCTGTAACATCTCATCCAGTTGCTTCAAGTCATCAGGAGTAAGTTCCTCCTCATGAGACATCAGTTCTTCCACATCCACCTCCTCCACTTCAAGGCCCAATGACTGACCAATGGACACAATCTCCTGGTCTAACTCTGTTTCTTCCTCAAATCCCTCAAAATCATGGACTACTGATGGCCACAATGCTTTCCATGAAGAATTGAGGGATCTAGTGGAGACTTCTTGCCATGATGCCACAATCAATTTTACAGCCTCCAGGATGTTGAATTGTGTCTTCCAGAACTGTTTCAGTGTTAGTTCAGGATCATTGGAAGTTGCCTGATGACACCTCCTAAACATTTTTTTCATGTACAACTTCTTGAAGTTGCTGATCACATTCTGGTCCATTGGCTGTATGATTGATGTAGTGTTGGGAGGCAAAAACAACACTTTCACAAAGTCAAATTGATACTCCAAATTTCTGGCAAGTTCAGGGTCAGGACCAGGAGCACTATCCATGAGGAGAAGAGCCTTTAAAGGGAGTTTATTGGTGGTTAGGTAGCTCTTGACAGAAGGGCAAAACACATCAACAGCCCATTCATTAAAGAGCTGTCTTGTCACCCATGCCTTACGGTTGGACTTCCAATAAACACCAAGCTTTGTTCTTACCACTTTCTGTTGCTTGAACACCCTGCTGTTTTCAGAGTGGTAGACAAGCATAGACTTCAGTAGGAAATCCCCTGAAGCATTGGCATCAAGCAATAGAGCGAGACGGTCTTTCATGGGTTTATGCCCAGGCAAAGAGGCTTCATCTCTGGTGATGAATGTTCTTTTGGGCATTTTTTTCCAGAACAGCCCAGTTTCGTCCACATTGAACACTTGTTGTGGAAGATAATTTTCTTCCTCCATCAGTTCTTTAAATTCATCTAAAAACTTTGCTGCCCCTTCCTTATCAGCACTAGCAGCTTCACCATGCCTAACAACACTGAAAATGTCACTTCTTTTCTTAAATTTTTCGAACCAGCCTTTGCTGGCCCGAAAATCTTCAAATTCTGTGCCTGAAGAACCAGGTTGATCTGTCTTTAAATGTTCGTAAATCTCCCTGGCTCTTTCACACATGAAATCAGTAGAAACTGAATCACCTTTCATCTGTTTTTCCCTAATCCAGATGATAAGTAACCTCTCAGTTTCTGCAATTAGGGATCTACTTTTAAACACTCTTGTAGATTTGTCTCTCACTTTCACTTCTTTAAATTTGTCCTTCTGTGCAAGAATTGTCGACACAGTTGATGTCGACATGCCATATTCTTTGCATAGCGCATTTATTCTAATGCCTTGTTCATGTTTTTTTATAAATTCCTGCTTGGTTTGGATTGAAATCGCTTTTCTTGATCTCTTAGGCCCCATGCTAGATTCAAACAATGTCAACACGTGCTTTTTAAAGTTAAACTAGCTGTAAATAAAGTATATTTTCTTTAAAATGACACTGCACTGCCTTATATATTGTCAATATGTAAAATAAATTTCAAAATGACCAATAATTTGCTTGGAAACACAGAAAAAAAGCGTCTAGTTGAAGAGAGTCTCACGCAAGATGTTACCTCCAGTGAAAACAGAGAGAGACTAACGCTTGTTTGCTGTGTTAAGAGGCTGGATGCCGCGCATTAAACTATTCACTTTACCTTCAATTATGTTCAATAATTGTTAAAATGACTAAAAAATTTAATATTAATCTTTTAAAATTATTGAATAGTATAAACTTCTTGATATTTACTAAAATAGTAAGGAATTTAAGCCCTAGAACCGATTAATGTATTGGCGGACTAATACTACAGCTGGTTGACCGCCCAGTGCAAGCCAAAACTTGATGAGGTCGGCTCGTAAGAAACTCATTAACCGAGGGGTTGCTCGTAAACCGAATTTAAGAATCTTATGGGGGGGTAACTCGTTAACCGAAATCTCGTTAACCGAGGCACTTGATAACCGAGGGACCACTGTAGTGGATATATATGACAAGCATGAGAATATTTTTCTATCGTTTTAACTGTTTTGAAACTTTAGATGGGAATAAATTTGTTTGTTTATTTAGTGTATATAAGAATAGGGTGAATGTGTTGAGGGTCTTGGCTGCTCTTGACTCCAGCCTCCTAGAGACAAGCCTTCTACTCTATCCCCAGCTATGTGTTGTGGCTGGGAGACATGAACTTCCGTTTTGAGTCCCACCTGACGTCAGAGGCCATAGCCAAGCATATTGCCGAGGCTAGCTGGACGGCCCTAGAGGAGGTGGACGAGCTGCGGAAAGCCCAGAAGAGTGGAGACGCATTTTCTATGTTGAAGGAGGGGAAACTCAACTTCCCTCCCACTTATAAATATCTGGAGGGGACATCTACCTATGATTTTAAGTAAGTTTAAGGAAATATATGAAAGATTCTAATAACTCTTGTTATTTTTTCTTCTTCTGAAATGACGAGGATGGTATGTATCAACTCTCAATTATAAAAGGTATTTAAGAGAACATTAGTAGATCCTGAATGTTGTAAGTTAACTACTGTACCATAATACCTCTTTCAGCCGGAGACCAGCCTGGACCGACCGGATCTTGTACCAGGTTCACGTGGACGCCTACGAAAACGTTAAATTAGGGATGGACCAAATATCGTATTCTCCATGCGACTCTTACACCCAGTCTGACCACAAGCCAGTCATGAGTACTTTTAAGATCAAGGTACGTAACGATGGCGATGATGTTGTTGAAATATACCGTGTGGTAATTAGTTGTTCCTCCTGACAAATTGAACCAACAGTAAGGTTTTTTTATTTCACAAAGCTTTTTCACTCATATCCTTTCAGTTCATAATTATATTGAATATTGTTTTTATTATTATTTATCTCACAATGAAGGGATGAAGACTTGATGCCAGACATAAGAAATGTATTGTCAGAACTTGATTGTTGCTGATGACCAAGACTCTACCTTAATGTACAGTAGGTTCAGGTCATTTAGTTCTTTGTTGCATTTTAGAAGGGCTGTAAGTGGTTAGTTTACAATGACATACCCGGTAATTATGTGTTTTACCTGTATACTTTTATTTGTAATGTACCTGTTTGTGATAGGTACATCTTACTAGTAGTTAGAGTCATCTGTCTATATGGTATTACTGTATATGTTTTAAGTGATTATTGATTTGCATGTACACTATTTATATTTTCTCCCTCTTGTCCACAGGTGTTTGCTGACCATGAAGAGCGTTGTGTGCACTTCCAGCCTGTGGGAACTTGGGTAGTGGGAGAGGGAGGTCCTGTGAAGTTTACTCTTGATTCTGATGTTGTTACCTCACCCTGGGATTATATCGCTCTCTATAAGGTGCCAATACTGTACTTAATTTTCTGTCATGAAAGTATAATATTAAGGCTCATTATATATATATATATATATATATATATATATATATATATATATATATATATATATATATATATATATATATATATATATATATATATATATATATATATATATATATATATATATATATATATATATATATATATATATATATATATATATATATATATATATATATATATATATATATATATATATATATATATATATATATATATATATATATATATATATATATATATATATATATATATATATATATGCGCAAGTAAATCACTGTAGGTACGCGTGATCTAGGTATATGCTGATAACCACAAGGAAAGAAGAAAACACGAAGTTCCCAAGCGCTTTCGTGTAATTCACATCTTTAGGGGTGAGTACAGACTAAAGAGAAATACAAAACAAGGTGTATATATACAGAGGAGGGTGAGACCAGGTCCACAATGGTCAGGTATTAGGTAATGACCCTACTAATCTTTAAATAGCACGGCAACGGTCGGTAGTCAGGTCAGAGGGTAAAGTGACCCAACCTTCTCACCTGGTTACAAATCTTCTTAATTACAAAATTGTCCAGTTTGTACATGCCATTACTCAAATTCATTAAACATACCGAAGCATTCAACATGAATTTGAGTACAGTACAGTGAAAAATTACCCCTTGTATGTGTAATTTCTAGATGCCTCCATATTTTGTGTGGAAGTGGGGATATCTAGCTCTTTCCTTGCTCCTAGTGGTGGGGCTCTCCCTTACACCACCTTCTATGATATGATTGTGTAGAACTTTATCATTGGAGCTGACAAAACCTTAGAGGGATCAGTTTTGTTTACAAGATGTACAGTATTTGACGACTGATTTATTTTGCATTCTGTGGCATAATGTTAAACAGACCAACCATCCGAACAAGTGATGAAATGATGGATAAATTTGTGTGGGTTAATTATGCCGCACTGTTCCTCAGGTGGACTTCACATCAATGCATCAGTACATCACCTACACCTACATTCCTCAGCCTCCTGTTGGCAATACCACACAGCGGACTTTTCAGGTGAGTCCCGTTTACCTCGGTTTAACCTAAGGTGCCTCCTATTGTCTATTGAAAAGGATATCTCATGATCGATACAGTATACAGTACAGTAAGTTCTCACTTAACGTCAGGGTTGCATTCCCGAAAACGCGACGTTATACGAAACGACGTTAAGCGGATCAATTTTCCCCATAAGAAATAGATAAAATACTGGAGTTTCGTTCGTGAGCCTTCCTTTACCCCATGAAATACATTACATACACATAAATTCAAAGCTCCTTGTGTGATGCCTGGTGAGGTGCTTGTATGCATTACTATAAAGTCACATTCACTGACATTTATAAGAGAAAAACTTAAAACTCCTTTACATGACAGATAAATAAATAACACTAGGTAACCTTGGCTGGCCAGCTGTCACAATACATCACCTCCACACTTCCGACAAGATTGAAGGCTGTTTAGGCTTGCAGTTTTTATCATATAAAATGGCACAGACTAAAGTTAGCAGAATATAAATTTGTAAGACAGCAAATAATATGAATATACTGTATAGACGTCATATATTTTGCACAAGAGAAATTTTTTTAGTCCCTTAAATATATTTAAGTACTGTACATGTTTTTTAACTTATTTTTTGGTAGATATAGTAACTTTCTCATTAATTATTACTCATTTACATGCACACACCATCCTAAATACATATTGTGAAAAAGATAAATGAAACATTTGTCCTAAGGGAGAGAGTGATGCGCCATAAAAAGTAGCCCATGACGACGTAAACGACGTTGCACCGAATCACCGTCCCGGGACCTTAAACAAATTTTTGGTCTCTTATAGTTTAGCGACGTAGTATCGAAACAACGTTAAGCGAGGACCTACTGTACTACTAAAAAAAACATTCCATTTTATTTTCACAGCATTATTTATTTTCCAGTGTTTGTTGGTGAAATATTAACAACCATTTTCAATTATGTTTTTGCAGGATTTAGATACTGTATTTTAACAAATTTGTCTGTGGAATATTAATTATAACACTAGTTGACAAGGGTTCAGTAACATAGATCAGATATCCTGCACTTTATTAATTTTGGGGCGCTGCTTTCAAATATGGCAATAAAATATGTCAGTCACGTAACATTTTTATGATATATGTAGTGTAGGAATATAAGATACGTAATGTGTTGGTAGGGATATATTAAATGTATGGTTAGCAATACTGAACAGGAGAATGGAGAGAATACAACGCCGATGCTGTGTTAATTCACCAAATTGAGCCTCCAAATGTATCTTCGGCAGTAAGGCCCGTCCCTCAAGGAGAAGGCCTCCCCATGCCTACACCACCGACTAATTTGGAAGAGCTCTCAACTTCGGATCAGGAAATTGAGAAAGAAATCCCAGAATCTTCCCATGGTCCTCCTGTCATTGACCAGACTTCCAATGAACCACATCTTATTGAACAAAGTGAACTTAATGATCTTGTACGTGATCTCCGTCTGTCAAGACAGCAGGCGGAACTTTTAGCATCAAGACTGCAGGAATGGAACTTGCTAGCGAAACAGACAAGAATTTCTGTTTTTAGAAAAAGAAATATTACATTATCTTCATTGTACAGTCTGCAGGATTCCCTCTGTGTGTGTACTGATGTAGATGGACTGATGTCAGAGTTGGGAGAAAAACATGACCCAAAGGAATGGCGGCTTTTATAGATTCCTCCAAGTTTAGTTTGAAAGCAGTAGTGTTGTATAATGGGAACCAGAAGCACATTCTGTAGGTTTGAAGGAAACGTATGATAGTATGGAGAAAATATTGACCGCTATTAAATACAATGAATATAGATGCCAGGTCTGCAGCGATTTGAAGGGTATAGCCCTTCTACTCGGCCTTCAAGGAGGGTTTACGAAATATTGCTGTTTTTTGTGTTTATGGGACAGCAGAGCAACAGAAAAACACAACCACACAAAGGACTGGCCAAAGAGAGAAGAGTTTGTTCCAGGAATAAGCAACGTTAAATATACTCCCTTGGTAGACCCAAACGATGTACTCCTGTACCTCCTTTACACATCAAGCTGAGACTAATGAAGAATTGTGTGAAGGCTATGGACAAACAAGGTGATGGGTTCGTGTACTTGAGGGGAAAATTCTCACAGCTCAGTGATGCTAAAGTCAAAGAGGGTATCTTTGTTGGCCCACAGATAAGAAAGTTACTTCGTGATAACGACTTTGAAAACAAACAATGAAAATGAGCTAGCTGCATGGAAATACTTCACATCTGTAGTCAAGGGGTTTCTTGGACACAAGGAGGAAGAAAACTATTGCCAACTTGTAGAGGAATTCTTATAAAACTACAACAACTTAGGATGCAGGATGTCCCTGAAAGTCTACATCCTACACTCGCACTTGGACTTTTTTCCTGAGAATCTGGGGGCGGTTAGTGATGAACAGGGAGAGCGATTTCATCAGGATATTAGACCTATGGAGGAAAGGTACCAGGGTAGATGGGATCCTGCCATGATGGGGGACTACAGTGATATCCCTGTTAGCCGGAACAATTGGTGCAGAGCACTTCCGGGAATGAGAGATTCCCATTACATCATCTCTCGAACCCTGAAAAATATCCCTTATCCCCGTAATTTTCAGGGTAACGGAAAACTTTTCTAGGAATTTACAGAAAATGCACCTGATTTTCATCTCTCAACCCCGAAAAAACTCCGGGTCTCAGAATTTTCTGGAAAATGTGCCCCTCGGAAAAGCTTTCCCAAAGCCGAAATTTTTTTTAAAATTCCGGCTTTGGGAACGATTTCCTGAGAAAATTTCAATTCCGGCTATCAGAGAGTTCCGGGTTTGGGGGATTCCGGCTAACGGTGATATTAATGCTGGTTTTTACAATCAGGAGGACAATGCAACACATAAAAGGATGAAATAAAATAAAAAATGCCCATACAGTGGCTAATTTAATACTTGTTGTGTCTTTTTATGATTGTTTTCTTTCTGAATTGATTTTTAGTATAATGACGTGGAAAAGGGTAACAGGAATAACAGGAAAAATTGTATTTTCAGTTTTTTATTTGTAAGATTTAATATTTTGTAAAACAAATAAACTAAATGTGCCAGAGAATTTTGATTGCCAAATTTGAAATCAGCTCCTCAAGGTTACCAAAAGGAAGCTGCTCTCAACCATGTTACGGATTTTTTTTAAAATTTGTTGCCTAGTGTATCGGTATTATTTTGATCAGATTTGTCTTACCTAATGCATTTTACTCTTTAACTGGTATATTTTTAAAACTGTGAGTCAATGATATGTGATTATACGAATAGTTTAGTCATTTTTTAATGTTAAACCTTAAATATGGTGTTTTAGTGTTGGATGGTCTTAGTACACATTATTAGTGGGTAGGAAGTTCAGTTCTTTATAACTTGACTCCTGCACCTTGCTGATCTGTGTTGTATAAGGTGATGATAGGAGTCAGGGATCAATATCGGTCTACATGAAGGAAGGTCTTGTTGATCAAAGTGTTTTGTTTATTTACGTTTCCATTACATAGCAAGGCGGACATACATGGCGGCATGTAGAGAAAGGAAACGTCCGTCAGCGGCAGGTAAGGTGAAGACACTGAAATCTTAACCTGCCACTTAATCTCACTAGGCTGTGTTGCTATTAGCCCCAAGGAATAAGTCTCGTAACTGCAGCTTTACCGCTGATTAGATTGGGCTGTCTCAGGATGGGTGTACATTAGTGAGTGCTGTGTGAGGTGTGTTCATGACTTGTTAGATATTTTGTGTAGATTTTAATTTTCGTTTTCTGAAAATTTAACCAAATGTGAATGTTTAGTACAAAGGCATTCATACAGCTGTGCTTATGTCTGTCTGTCCTTTCAAATTTCATGTGCACAGATCTGCTAAAATGTACAATTGCACACTTTACTTTCTGGTATTTTATTCACAATCACTTAGTAATATCAATCAATCAAAGTACCATACCGTCCTCATATCTGGGGGTTGACGACCACAGACCTCCACTCTTAAATGTTTTGGGGCTGTTTTTACCAATTCTCCGAGAAATAATTCAAATGAAAGTAAAGATGTGATGTAGTGTATTTCATCCAAACCCCAAAGTGGTTAAGTATTACTTGAGCAACAGGAGGTATACCGTCTGGTGGGGACATCTTACACAAATCAAACCAGTCAACACAGTGATGTGGGAGGTGGGTGCATGGACCTTCTTTAAACTCACTTGGATATCAACATTTAATAGCAGCAGGATATTTTTTTTTTTAATGTAGTGAAAACTATTTGTTAAAAATCTGTAATTTTTTCATTTCGCTGTACTACATGAGAACTGTCAGACCTCTACAAACACAAATGGTAGATGAAACTGCTGTACAATGATGGGTTGTAGATCACACTTTTACCAACAGTTTGTAGGTCAAGTTAAGTGGAAATATAATTATGTGAAAGCAACAGTGATGAGGGCAGCAGGTACATCCCTCCTTCTCTCCCTCTTCTCACTAGTCCAAATATGTCGTCCAGGGATAAAATCTCAGCAGTCAAGTATTAATAAATTTAGCCGATGGCTGTTATTAGAACACTGCTGTACAGTACAGTATTGGGTATTTTTCACATTGTTATGTGAATATCAATACTTTTCCATAGAATATGAATAAAAATGCAAATACAGGTACATGTACTTGTACTTTAATTTGACATGGCAATATATTTGAATGCAAATAAGAAATTTTTTTAATGCTATCCTGTATTTGAATGCATTCTAATACATACAGTGTACCCCATCCCTGGAGAGAATGGGATGTAGATATAATCAGAGGTGGATGGTAGGAGGGAGAAGGGAAGACCAAGAAGAAGATTGAAGGATGCACTAGGAGTGAGTGGGACAGACATCCTGGAAGCTACAGATTACTTAAATGATAGGAGAGTGTGTGGCATCAAGTACTGTACAGTGGTTTATGTGTTGCTGCAGTTAGAATGTTTGGGTGACAGAAAGTAGAGTTGTGTGTCAGTCACTT